TCTGCCCAGAACCATCTCCCCAGATGGATCAAAGAAGTCCATGGTGGGGACGGGCTGTGTGTGTGAATGTGAATAGAATTCTAACATTCTGGAGAATTCTCAGTATTCTGAACGTATAGTTGTATTCCACCACACACTTCCCAACCCATGAAGTTTTTGACCTATGATATTTTGGCCATATACTGAAGTGTTAGCCATCTCCTTGCTAAAATACTTTGATTATTCTCAACAATATTAAAATGGACTTTACCATAAGTGATTAGGGTTTATTGCCTTTCATTATCAGCCAATCAGCTTCAATTCTTAGGCTGAGGCTAAAGAATCTTTTAAGCAGTTCATTTTAGCTAGGAGAAAATGAATCCAAATAATTACTTGGAAAATAGTCCTTCTGATATCTTATGTAATGTATGCAGAAACAGAATTGTGATAGTCTTTTCAAACAACTGCTGGCTCATTTCATCAACAGACGGATGAAAATAAAAGTTATTTTTCATGAACTGCCAGTTAATACTTTTTAAAAAATCACTTCATGAAGAAGTTTTTTATTAACATTATTGCAAACTATCAAGAAAGTATGTCAAATGTTAAAACAACCATACCAGCTAATGAAAGCAAAAATAAAATAAAAATAAAAAGTTCTGCAGATGCCAACTTAGAAAAAGCTATGTGTGATATATATTTAATATTATAAACTGGAGAACAATCAGAAGATGTTTTTATATGCTATGGTACATTTTGTTAGGAATAAGTTCTCCTACAAATATATAATACTAATTTTCAAAATAATTGATATGTTGTTCCTTCTAAGATTATGGTTGTATGCATGCAGTCTTAATACATGATTAATACAATGATAAATACTGAAATCTGAGACTATGCTGATAATTCTTATTGCATTTGTGTCAGAAGCACTGAGGCACTTCCAGGTTGAAAGGATTACCCAGTGACACCATTGTTGTCTAGGGGATGCCCAGTTGGGGGCTCCTTTCATGTCCCAGTTAATGTGCGCACCAAAGTGGTACCTATCTATCTACTTGCGAATGCATGCTTTCAAATTGCTAGGTTGGCAGGAGCTGAAGCGAATGACGGGAGCTCACCCTGTCTCACTGCAGCACTTGGGTCTCAAACATGGTCTTGCTGCTTGTCACCCAATGTCCTAACCACATGAGCCATTGTGCTATTGTTGCTAGTAACTGAAATATACAGAATATCCTCAACATTAGATACTTTTAAAATAACACATTCACCTGCCCTTTCCTATAATTCAATTTGTTCGAAGGAAGATGTTCCTTCAAGAAAATAAAGTAAGTTATAATATATCTTGAGAAGCCTACTCATTATAAAATTATTCATTTCTCGGAACCTTAATAAATATTCCAATGTTCCTTCAACAATAGTAATGTATAAAGTGACCTCTCTTTAATAAACACACATTATGCCCTGCTTTTACAACCTAAAATAATCTTCCACCTTGATTATTGTATTTAAGCCCGGCAATTATTCCACTAATTGAAGAGAATATTTATGACTCATGATTGAACTGTGAGGTCCTTGCTCTCTGAGGTTGGTGGTTTTCTTGCAGACATTTCATTACCAAAGCAGGTAGCATCATCAGTGCTAGAAGGAAGTAGGGTTTGACTGATAATGTTATCTAGTCTGATAATGAAAGATCCACAAGAAAACCAAGCTCAACCCCACTCCCTTCTAGCGCTAATAATGTTACCTGCATTGGTAACGAAATGTCCGCAAGAAAACCACCAACCTCAGAAAGTACTAATGATGCCACAATTATTCAATAATTCAACTAGTACACATTCCTAAGAAGGAACCATTACAATGATTTTTAAATGAAGTACACTGATTTACAGAAAAACACTATCATAATATACAAAATTCAAAAATTCTCTATTAAATGAACCATTGGACTTAAAGGGCTTAAAGTAAACATCCACTAAATATTTTAAAGAACAGAAATTAATGATTATAAATTATTGTGTCACAATCTATATATAGAACTTTTTCTTCATAGTTTGTACAAATGACTACAAAACAGATTTTACTTCCTCAAATTATTTGGGAGCAAATATTATTCCTAGGAAATTTTGAAGCTCACTTTAGTCTCCAAGGATGCTAAGGATGTACAAAGAACAATGCCAGTACAGACAATGTAAACAATAGAATTAAAACAATAAAATTCTTTCACATAAGTGGGCATACTAGCTTGTAATCATACTGGGATGTTTAAGATTAATTAATGGCTATGCTCCTTATTCTCTGTTTGGATTCCTGAACACTGCTTATTCTTCATGTTGGTGTAAAAACACTAGAAATAAGGATAGTCAAATAATTATATAGTTGGACCTGTTCCAGAGAAATGTCTTTAAGCTAAGATTTATATAACCTGTGTTTCTCAATGAGATGCAAATAATCATGAAAATCTTCAAATTTCTCATAGTTAATTATGATTACCATTGTCAAAACAGTCAACCTTAAGCCAATTTCAAACTATAATTTCATTTCTCACTTTGGCTGCAATATGGCTCTAAAGTTAATTAAAGACATTCTTAGTTTGCCAACTGTTAAAACCAACTAATAGAGGTAGCAATGGCCATACATATGTAAAGCAAATTTGAAAGAAAACATGTCCATAATCATCCATACCTGAGCAATGGCTGCTTGGGATAAGAAGGCTGATCACTGTTTTGGGATGTTTCAGGCTTTTTTGTAACTTGTTTATAAATATTTCTTGCTGTCACTCCAATCCAGAGCATTGTAGATAGCGTAGAATAATGCAGTACAATACCAACCTAAAATAAAATGGTGAAAAATAGAAAGGCTCAGCACAAGGACACAAAAATAAAGCATGTTGTCATTACTGTTTTTGTTTATATTGTCAAATAGTTTGCTAAATGAAATGAATTTGGAGATGTTTTAAATATTCTGCTGCCTTTAATCAGTGTAAGGAAATGAAAAAGAAGATAAAATAAGGTTTATTTCTCAATATAGGCTGGTGTTTATTATTGTTGATACATTGCGAAATAGGGTTTTTATAAAAAGACAATATAGAAAAGTGTCCTCCCCCTTTGTTGAAAAATGGGTTGCTTATATTTAAAATGCATAATGGACAGTGCTTTTAGTTCCTTTGTTAGATCATCTCTACTCCCGGTGTGCACAGATGTCTTGTACAGAAAAATAACCATGCTTCAACAATGGGTAAGTTTCAAAAACAATGGAGAAAACACTGAAGTAACAATCATCAGCACCCCTAAAACACACTTCCTCATTCATTGCACAATTGAACCATGAACGTACCAAAAGTTTACCTTGCTGTGAACAGGTCAAAATTCCCTAGTAAGACTTTTCTTTCCACACTTCACTTTTTTAGGCTCAAGCTCAGTTGAGACTTTTTTGATGTACAAAACATTATAGCTTTAATTCATATTAGGGAGCTGCTATTTAGACACAAAGACATGAGGGTTAATCTTGGTATTTCTTTTCCCCATATTTCTCATGTTTTGGGGAGGCCTTTTGCCCTATGTATCTTGGACCTTAAGTTGGATTACTGTTAGTAGTTGACATAATTGATAACTCTATCCTGAGAATCTATTGCTCTCAGTTTAACTCCAAAACTATGCACACATTTTATTCCATATAAACATTCCATTTGTTCCTTGTCCTCCTGCTGTAGAAAGATACAGTGGTGCCCTGCCATCTTAGGTGCTTTGCACTTCATTGGAAAGGAATTAGGCAACATAATTATGTTTTTTATATATGAGAGGTATTAAGTTTATATCTTGAAGTGTATGTAATAAGCTCTGTTTATCACTTACTGTCCTATCTGGAGAAGGGTTACCATGTTATTACTTTATGTGAATTACATTGATTAAATATTTTTGTTACTGTTCTTATTTAATGGAAATTTGCAGTTTAGCAAGTATATTGGCACCCACATTATGGGGTATCCTCCCTTCTGAAGTGAAGCTGGCTTCATCACTTCTGAGTTTTTGAAGGCCCCTCAAAATCTGATTGGATAATAGGCTTGCTACTCTTTTACTACCGTAATTATGGAACATGTAATGCAAAATTAAATGTTTTGGGTCAACAAGAAAGCAATCTTTTTTGTACTATTATTAACATTCAGTTCAGTGTAATTGAAAGACTGAAATGATATTGCTTAAATCTTTATTAGTTTCACACAGCAACAAATTACTGATCATAGGACCCAACTTGGTAATATGGACTGAGTCTCTCATCTTACTGACCCTTTCTTCTAACTCTGATATAAATAAAAGCACATCAAAAATATAGTCAAAGATTCTTGAAACAGTTTTCATTATTTACTATAAAATACATGAAGATGCAGCTTACTTTGTAAAAGAATCAGGTTTGGAAGTCTACAATTATAAATATGTTACTATAGGCATATTGGCTCAAAATCAACTATTCTCCCAAATATTACAAATTTGCAAATATTAAAGGAGATATCTCAAGCTGGTTTTCCTATTACCTCTGCAATAAAGTGCCATTGAAAAAATAAATCCAATACAAATCCAATGCCACATTATAATTTAACCTGTCACTGGAACAAACATTTCATTGAAAATAAACTCAAAAATCTGTAATGTAAAGGCCCAGTTTAAACTGAATAGTGTATGAATCTGGAAGAGGAAGAATTCTATACTATATACAGAATAAAATTTGGTAAATGTCCAATCATCTTATATAGTTTAAGAAACTCTAGAAATATATTCCTCCTATCACCTCAACTGCCATAAAACTTCAGCAAGCAATTTCTCTGTGTCTTTTAGTCTACATATCTGTGTTCAGATAAATCATATCTCCACTTTGCCTCCAGTGAAAAGAAAAGGCTTATAGAAAAATGCCTTGAAAAAATATATGCCCTGAAGTTCCTCCCACATTGTCACTATTTTAATTTTCATCCTCAGAAACTTTTTCAAACTAATCCACCATTATCCACATCACTCCACCCTCAAGAAATCAGTCAGTTTCTACCAACAGTCCATGTCGTTTTGCATGAACATTGACAATCAGCGTTAGTGTAAAGCTACCAAAGTATTATATCAGCAAGGTGCCATTCCTCGATTTGATATAATCAAATAGTAGCGACATTACAGTTTGAAGCTGAAATTGCTTAGCATCTTAGGGCTAGAAAGAATGAGCCAGCAGTTCCGAATAGTAGAAAAATGACATTCCTTGAGCTCCATAAAGCTCCAGTAATTCGAATCGAAACATAGATTTCCTGTCTTTCCTTTTAATCCACAGCTAAAATGGAAATAAATAATATTATTTTCTGAATTGAAACAACATTGTAGATTCATGCAGAGACAGAGCTGATCAAACTCCACATGTAGAGGATGACCTTGGAAAGGCATTAACCAACTATTATTTGCAGGTCTCAGGAAAAGTAACCATTGCTCTCTCTGCATTCCCCAGGGCAGAATTCAGATTCTTAAGCAGCTTTTTGGCAGATATTATTTGTTTATATAAAATGACCATACATTACACTTAAATAGATTAAATTATTCTTTCAGCAAAAATTATCTTTGTGATTGGTGGGAAGTTTGTTGGAGAAGATCTATCAGGTATCGCAGGCACACACCATTTTGGGTGTTATACCCACAAACAAATATAGAGATTTTAAAATTGATATCCTATGGACCATAGAATAATAGAGTTGGAAGGAATCTTGGAGGTCTTCTAGTCCAACTCCCTGCTTGAGCAGGAGACCCTATACCATTTCAGATAAATGATTGTCCAGTCTCTTTTTGAAAGCCTCCAGGGATGGAGCACCCACAACTTCTGAAAGAAGCTGTTCCATTGGTTGATTACTCTCACTATTAGGAAATTAGATATTAGATATTCTGGATTCCAGCCTAGACACCATTAAGAAAGCCTATGCAGAGTCCATTGCACAAGTTAAGCCTGGAAGTTGCCACTGAATGCACTACTGTTAAATGAAGTATATGGGGGCATTTTTTTAAAAAAAGTTGTCAGATATTTAGGGGCAAAAGGCCTTTAATAGTTCATTTTATAATACTGAGCCTTGCATTTTCAGCCATTCTATGCCCCAACCCTTTTCTTGGATGTTTGAATAAGGCAGGCAAATCACTTATTTTTGTGTGCTTGGATGGTATGGCCATCTGGCCAGTTGATTGGGTTTCACTGTTTCATGACATACCGGTACTAACCGTATCCATACCCAGTTAAGTATGGTATAAACACATCAATAGTTGCCACAGGACTTCACTATTTCTTCCTTTCTTTCCTCATCTTTGGGACTACAAAAAGACTTTCCTATTGCATCTTTCCTGGTTCCGATATCTAAAGGACAAAAGTTACCATCACAAAAACTTAGGATGCTGGTAAAGGAGCCAGTTGCCTTCTATTACATGAAGTGTCTTGTGTTTATTATCTTTCTGCCTCTTACTGTTTTGATGAGGCAAGAAATCATAGGCTGAGTTCATGTCTGAACAAGTCACAATGATCCATTTTCATATAATACAGTGTCATTAACCCAAAAGTTGGGTTTATACATCGCGTTAATAGAGAACTAACCAACTAACCATATTATGTCTTACTGCCATGTTGGAAACCTGCCTTATTAATCTCTAACAATTAAAGAACCCACTTTCTGATTATAATCCTGCTGTTGGTATTGTTACTTGAACTCTATATTGCTGACATGTCATATGCTCATTTATTATATTTAAACTGTCTACTGGGTAAACTGCTTGAGCATAATCTATTTATGAAAAATATGATGTATAAAGAAATGACTATTATGATTGAAAATATAAAACTCCAGCACATGCTTCACGGAATAACAGTAGTTATTGTTCTTTTTATACAACTCTCCCTTCCTGAGAAAACTAGGAGACATACAAGAATAATAGAAGAGAATCCCATCATAATAGAAGAGAATCCCAGAGTTGGAGGAAGCACTTCAGACAATATCAAACTGAATCCCCTCTCAGTGCAGAAATCTAAATCAAATCCCTGACAAATGACTACCTGGATGTTTCATCTAAAGAGGAAGAGCCTCTCTTGTAACTAATTTTGCCATCCAACTATTCTTACTATTTAGAAATATCTTCTAACGTATTTGACTCCCTTCAGTCTCCACTTGTGTGTTATTTGATTTATATCTCCAAGTCACCCAGTGAACGTCCCTAGCTGACAGTGGACTAAAACATGGGTCACCCTGAAGCCAGTTGAATATTTTAACTATTATACCATATTATTCTGATTATCTTGCTCCTCATGCTGTGAAGTGACATGCCAAGGGTTCTGACCTTCCTCTGAAGGGCAAACTTTAAAGTGTTTGAAGGCTGCTGTCATATACGCCTTGAGAATTCTTTCTTAACCTAAACATTTTCAATTCCTTCATTTTCTAAGGACTGAAGACAGTTTCTAGCCTTTGGATCACCCTTATTGCCCATTGTCTGAAACGTTTCTATTTTATATGAGTTGTTCTTAAGGTACCCACAATGGATCAGAATGCTTTGATTAATACAGAATAAAATGCAACTATTAATTCATGTGTTTTAGAAAGAAATTCTTATTTATCATGAATTGTAGTTCTTTGCGTGGCCATCTGTGGATTCATCTCTATCAGTTCTATCAGTGCCTTTTTTGAATCTTCTAAGCTTGCAGAATTGTTTCATAGTTATCACCCTCACATGTCCTGGTTCTTGCCAAATTCCTTCCATCCCTAAGACCACCACAGTAGATAAAAAAAAAATCAGTGAAGTCACCTGTGAGTGATAAGCTGAGTTTCAAGCTACAA